AGGAAGTAAGTTAAGTTAGTTATTTATAATAAATAAGTGTTGTTATTCCTAAAATATTCTTGCTAATTAAGTATATTGGCTAAAACTATCATTATTAGAAGGATTATCTTGGAAAAAAATGCATAAATATAAGAGAGAAAATGGATTGGGTCTTATAATTAGGACCAAATAAAAAGTCAAATTGGGTCTTATAATAAGGACCGGAGGAGTAAAATATTATTCCTAGTGTCACATGATATGACTGATTAATTGATATTTTAAAATTTAATGTTGGTTCATTCTAACTATATAAACCAACGCTGAGAACTCCCATCAAGTAAAAAAATGGAACTTTCTACAATGTACAAAATAAACTTTGCAACTGAATAGGAGACACTCATTTTGAGGTAGGTTTATTACTGAGACGTTTTTAACAGTTAACCGCTCGGTACTTGACTAACCCACGATTACCGTGAGCATGATAACTGGCATAAATCTTATTCTTTCTAAAATATTCTTATTAATTATATATATTTAAATTAATAGTAATATGCAATTATCATAAAAATTACTTGAGAATTACATAGATAAATATTGAATATAAACTGCAATAGCGTCTTATATGCTTAAAGTCAAATTAAACTAATTTTCGTATATACGAAGATGAAAAAGTCGTAATATAGGTCGCTCTTGGTTTCATGTGGAGCTGAGGCTTTGTTTGGTTGGAGGGTTGTTGAGGGGAGGGGAGGGGAGGGGAGGGGAGGGGTGTGTTTGGTTGGGAAAAATAGAGGGGAGGGGAGGGAAGAAATTTGTCTTTTAGTGCTCCCCTCCCCTCCCCATGCTCCCCTCCAAATTTGGGGTTTTTTGGAGGGGAGAGAAATATTATGTCTAATATTGACCAAACTATCCATACTAATTTTTTAATATTTCAAGTTTGTCCATCTTATTAAAAATCTTTTTTCACTTCTTTCTTTTTTAGCCACTAATAATATTTGATAATAATAATATAATTATATAATTATATAATATATACATATCATATGTATTAATATATACATATCATAACATGTGTGTATTATAATTATATATTATATCGTGTGTATTAAAAAAATAAATTAGTCTAAATATAGAGATAATGGTATATTTATCAATTTATAATTACCTCCCCTCCCCTCCCCTTATGAATCAAACAAGAAATCTCCCTTCCCTTTCCCTCCCCTCCAACCAAACAAAACCATAACCTCCCCTCCCCTCCCCTCCCCTCCCTTTAATTAACCTCCCCTCCCCTCCCTTCCATTGAACCAAACAAAGCCTGAGAGAACGTGGTTGCTAAAATAATCACACATGATCTTAAACTAGTCTATATTTCCTTCTTCACATTAGCAAATTTCTTCGGCAATGTGATAGCGCCAGGCGCGAGCTGTTAGAGCTAACCAGCGCCGGAAGAAAATGAGGCCGATCCACTCTCGATTTCTTCCCCTATCCATCTATATTCTATACAAGTCAAGGAACAGAATCGAGGCCCACAAGGTTTTTGGCCAACCACCGACCGCCACGTCAGCAAAAGAGAATATTTCGGCGACATTTTGGTTCCGAGAGCTACGCGAGCATGAACTGAGTGCGGCGGGGTTCGGCATCCATTTGGTGGGACCGCCACCTTCTTTCAGCTTTGCGCCTACACCAACAAGCAATGGGAGTGCTAGAGCCAGTGCGTATATCTCAGTGTATCAGACATAAGAATATCTTTCTAGTGTCTCTTTCTCACCAGAGTGTAACGCCAATTGTTGAAGGAACAATAAAATAACATCCTTACCTACAATGACCATTTAGCTAACGCCCTGCAACGTCCCCCTCTCTCTCCAGTTGGTAATGTTGGTTGTGGAGACGATGAAGGTGGTGCTGGTGCTGGTTATTATGCTTATGTTGAATTGTAGCGATTTTGATTGATGAAGAACCATAATACAAGCCAGGAGTGAGAGGGAGGGAGAGAAACAGAGGAAATGTTTAGGCTTCACAAGAACAGGCCTTCTAAATCAGAAGACAGGCTTGAATTCAAGTTGTCGCATTTCAAGGCCCTCGAGGTTACTCATCTCCTGTTCCCCTTTTCCATGTTATCCTTTCAATTTTCCCGTCATTAATCTGCTTTGTCATTTTGCTCTAAGTTGTCATACGAAAGTGATTTCTATGCTTTGAAGAGATAGATTTTCTGCAACGAATCGACGTTGGCGTGCAATGCCTTCTATGTGTTTCCAAAATGATCATCATCGGCGATATTATTCCGATAGAATAGTACTCACAGATTGCCTTATATGATGTAATCAGAGTTATGGCTATGGACTTATCCGTTTTCCTTTTTTATTAGAAAATTTCATGTTATGTAAAGAATCGCGGAGTGTGGCTCTGAGACTTATGATCTTGGGATTTGATGCGTAATCTTCATTACCACCAAGAACTTGTTTAAAAGCTTATCAAATCCTAGCCACAAACGATATATTCTCACAATAAGTGCAATTACTATAACTACTTTTTTTACAAGCATTTTTCAGCCTCAGTACATAGCAAGTGCCGATTCTTATGTGAGCAGGTACCCAAGGGCTGGGACAAGCTGTTCATTTCTATTATCTCCAGAGAAAATGGTAAAACAGTTGCAAAGTCGGGCAAAGCAATCGTGCGCAATGGAAGTTGTCAATGGACAGATACCATTTCACATTCTATATCGGTTTCACGGGATGATTCTTCGAAGGAGATTGAAGATTGTCTTCTCAAACTCCTTGTTTCCACGGTACTAAGCTGGTTCCCTCCTTTCCTTCGTCCCCTCATTCTGGTTATCCAGATACAGACATGTACAGTTTTTCCCCTTCCCTGTTCATATTTCCTGCGGTGCATGGAACTTAGATTTCTATCCTCTGCTTTTTTAAACATAATCAACTCTTTCAGTTAATTTTGTATTCTTTGAATCATCTCAAGAAATAATTTGACTTATGCGCTATATATCAGGGATCATCAAGATCTAGCATTCTTGGAGAGGCTACAGTTGATATGGCCAGCTACTTGAGTTCAACTGAGGCTATTCCGCTTTCAATTCCGCTGAACAAGTGCAATCATGGGACATTTTTACATGTTAGTCATGTAACTGAGATTTTATGAAATTTGGCTTTTATCTTGCTGATTCCCACACACACACACTTGCTTTCCTCGGCCCAAAAAAAGTCATGGATGACAACCTGGCATAGACTCCATTAATTACATTCTACAAGAAATGCTTGGAGGCTTTTTCTTGAGAGCCTGTTCTTTTTCATTCATCTCTTCTTATCCAGTCGGTATTTCCTCTGTTTTTCCCGCTCTTATATGCCAATAATCTGCTGCAACAAAACGTCATTCAGCTTAGCACTGGAAACTCAGTAATTTTTGCTTTTATCAGGTTACTGTTCAGTGCCTCACGCCTAGAACAAAATTCAGGTTTGTACTGTGGGGTAGGTTTTTTGTTATATGTGTGCCATTAGCTCAGTATGTATTGACGTCTTGCACAATTTCCCAGGGATCAGGAATCAAGACAGACAAATTCCCATATCAACGATCAGAATGCAAAGAATCATAATGTGGCCGTCAAGTCAAATGTATCTGATTGTTCATATGTAGGGAGTTCTGAATCTTCCTCTATAAAAGCTTTGGACTCTACCTCATCCCTTGGGGAACTTGAGAGTAGGGTAAGATTATAAACTTCCCCTACAAGTACATCTGTTCTTTGGTATCTGTGCACAATCGTAAATTGATCTCTGCCTGTGCTTATCAATGATGGAAGCTGGCTCTAGTTGTATCCATAGTGATATAATATCCCCTCATTTGTCAGTACTAAATTTACAACACTACTTGGATATAAGATCAAAGCGTAATTTCACTGATAAAACATCCCGTCAGTTGTCATTACTAATTTCACAACACTACCTATATATAAGATCAAAGTCTCATTTCATTCTAATGGATTCTTATAAAGCCATTCATTGTATGGTGTTGTATTCAATCCGCAATTATCGGGGTTTTCCTCTTTAGAGCTATTTGCTTGCTTGTCTTAGTCGTGATGCATTTTACTTTTGACCAGTCTATATGATGATAGCGGGGCCATGTCTTTTGACTGCAGGAAACAAATTTCTCTGGTTCTGGTTCGCATTGCAGCTATAACTCAACAGAGGGATCTATAGGAAGGGGAAACTTCTCCCCTAGTATTGATTCAAGGGATGATGAACAGAGCCTGGGTGGAAGACAAGATTCAACCGGTTCCCTTAAAAGTGTATCTGACTGCAATTATCGTGCTCATAATTTCTCTCAATCAAATCATTCATCATCAAATTCCCAGGTGACAAAGTTAGGGAATTTGTCTTCTACGCAAGTGGTTGGAGCATCATCTATGAGTATGACTACTTCTAATAGTCGTCAGGAAGGTGCTGAAGAGTCAACTGAAGAGCTTCGAGCAGAAGCTAAGATGTGGGAGATGAATGCTCGGAAGCTGATGGTTGATTTGGAAACTTTGAGGACTGAATTTTCTGATCAGTCCAAAAATCTGGCGAACATGGGAAGGGAGCTTTCAGCAGCACACGCAGAACGCGATAATTTGGAAACTGAAATTGAGAAACTGAAATTGTCCTTGGAACATGCATTAGCGAATCAGAAAGCATTTGAAGTTTCAAATTGTCAAGGTGAACATATTCCAGAAATTGAAAGGGCATTAAAGAATGAATTGGAGTTTCAGAAAGAGTCCAACGCCAACTTGTCTTTACAACTGGAAAAGAGCCAAGAAGCAAACATTCACCTGGTTTCTATTCTTCAGGAACTGGAAGGGACCATAGAACAGCAGAAAGTGGAGATAGAAAACCTCTCAGCATTACCTTCAAAATTCAGTGATGTAGAGAACGCTTTCCAACAAAGCATAGAAGGAAACAGGAGCCTGAGGCTTCAGTTAGAACAAATGGAGGAGTCAAAGAATGACCTCCTGATCAAGGTACAGCAGCTGGAACAGGTGTTGGAGGAAAAACGACATGACATAGAAACTGCAAAATGTCCAGATCACAAAATCTTCTCAGATATGAAAGAGGAATATGAAAGAAAATTATCTGCTAAAGAGGAAGAAATTTTATGTTTGAAAACAAAGTCGCTCAAGTCTCTGCCGGATAGATTTAATGCAGAGACCGAATCCAGAAATGTGGATGATGCAGATCTTAGAAGAGAAATTGAAATATTGAAAGAGAAACTGCAGGAGCTTGAGGCAGACTGCAATGAGCTTACAAATGAAAACCTTGACCTCATATTCAAGCTTAAAGAAGCACAGAAAGAATTGCGAAAAGGAGGTACATCTGAAGATTTTTCTCCTAAGAAGCTCTTAGATCAATGTTTTATTAGCTCTGAGCCAGATGTCAAAAACAAAGTATTTCCGATGCTCCATTTAGAAGATGTCTCAGAGGAGAAAGTCATTGGACAGGTTGATAATTCAACTGAAGAATTGGAGAGTTTGAAAATAGTTCTGGAAGCAAGAATCACAGAATTGAATAAGAAAGCAATAGATAAAGCTTCTGAAATAGAAAATCTTGAGGCTAACTTGTCATCTAAGGAAAAGGAAATTGGAGTCCTGCAGAAGTGCCAGAGTGAATTGGAAGCTAAGGTTTGTCATCTTGAAGATGACAAATGTCAACTAGAGGAACACGTGGAGTTCATGCTAAAAGAAAGAGATCTCATCTTTAAATGCTTGTATCATTTACAAAGTGATCTTGCAACTCTTAGTGGGGGCATAGACTCCCATATTTCTACCAAAGAGATTTTTGAAAAAGAGCCAGCAGAGCTAGAAAATGGAAAACATGAACTGGAGCTCAACACATCAGAGATAGAACAAGTAAAAGAACAACTGTCACTGTACGTGTCCGTTTTAGAAGCTCAATTGAGAGATTTGAAAAATGATCGAGAGTCCATTCTGTCAGAACTAAGGAGCTCTAGATCTCATGCAGCAACGCTTCAAGGGAAGATTATGAAGATAAAGTCAGAGATGGATTTTTCAAAAGAAGACATGACACGAAGATTAAAGGGGATACAATTTCAGTGGTCAGAAGCTCACCAAGAATGTGAATACCTCAGAAGAGAGAATCAGCGGTTACAAGCAGAAATCGAGAATCTTTCCAAAGAATGCAGTTCTCTGCGGAAATCTAATGGAGATTTGGAAGGGCAAGAGCTGGAGTTCAAGGAGCATTTTTCCATCATGGGAATCAGATTGAGGCAATCAGACCAAAGATTTGCAGAATGTTTGGAAAGAGTTGAGCTCTTAGAAAAGAAATTTACTGTGTTGTTGGAAGATAGCACATCAACCGAGAAGAGTATTACTTCAGAATTAGATGTGCTTCTTGGGGAAAGTGGAATTCATAGGGAGAAGGAGCAAAGCTTGTTGAATCAATTGCATATGGAGACGACTGTAGAAATTCGGAACCTTCAACAAGAAATTGAGCATCTGAGCATGAAACTTTCAGCAATGCATGACGAAAAAGAGGGAATAGTTTCCAACGCGTTGCTTGAAATATCTGCATTACATGCCGGGAAAGCCAAACTGGAATCTGATTTTGAGGAAGTTCAATCTAAAGTACTTTCATCTAAGAACGAGGCTAATCTTATGCAGAAAGAATATGCAAGAAGGCTGCAAGACCTAACAACTGAGCTTGGTGCTTCCAAAATTAACCAGGAAATGCTGATGTCTGACCATGAAGAGCTTTTGAAGCTTGTGGAGGATTACAAGTCAAGAGAACTAAAAGTCAAAAGCACCATGGATACCCTTGAATTGAAGCTTAAAGTCGCTGAATGTGAGAGACAACAACTCTTGGAGGAGACTAAAAATTTAAGGAACGAATTGCAGCAGATAGATCAATTTAAAAATGAGATTATAGTGCTCGAGAAGGACCTCGATTCAACCAGTTCTGAGAAAGAGAAACTAGAAGCATCATTGCATGTGACATCTGAACTTTGTGAAAATCTGAAGGCAGAGGTGAATTTGTTTGCAACAAAGACCTCAGCCATGGAAAAGGAATTATCTGAATTGGAAGACTGTAAAAGAAGTAGAGCAACCCTAGAAGAAAGGCTTGTGCAGATGGAGAATGATTTAAAGACGAAAGAAACATTATTTGGCCAGATTACTGAGCAAAAGAACGAGCTCAATCAAATTAAAAGGATAAACAGGCAGTATCAACAAACCATACAAGGACTTGAGCAGGAAAAAGTCGAGTTTCAGGCAAAATCCCGAGCCTTTGAAGAAGAACTGAAACTGATTAAGGAACAGAAGCGAAATCAAACGCCCAAGATGAATAGGAAAGCTGTACCTGGTCCTGAAGATCCGAAGATTTTAAAAGTCGGTACATCTTTTCTCCTCAATGGCATATTTACATTTTGGTGTTAGAACTCTTGATTTTTATATATATATCTTTTAAATAGCAGAATCCAATGGTGAAGAACTCAAGCCAGCATCGCAGTAATAGGAAAAAGCCCTTATCTAAGAATGACAGAGAAACTGTGAAAAATCAACAGGACATTTACAGTAGCAGGCATCAGAGTGAGGTGATACATTAGGGATGCTTATGATTTAATTTTGCCTCCATGTTGAATTTTATAAAGTTTATTTATAATTTCTAACACGTGGCATTTGCTTTAATTAAATAACTTTTAATGCTTATGTTCACTGTCTTCCTTTTCTGATAGGTGGAAATTGATAATGGACTTCATGATGAAAGTGTTCATGTGGTCGAAGTAGATCCAGAGTCAAGGATTCAGTTGCTTGAGGCTGAACTAGCAAAAGCTAAAGAAGCGAATAACATGTACGAAGTTCAAGTCAACAGGTTAGAGAGGAACATGGTGTCTTCCAAAAGTCTATGAAGTGTGCACGTAACCATCTTTGCGTAACCAAAAGTTTATGCGAAATAATTCCAAGTCAATTGACAATCTATGCATTGTTTCTATATGCGAGCAAAGAATCCCGTTTTCACTTGTTTGCGTTCTGCCGCTTATTCTATGCTCTTTGAAATTTTGCACGAATCAATTGATAAACAGTAGAGGTTAACACGCTGTGCTTTATTCTCGCATGTCAGAAGATTGATGCATTGTAGGAGGTAGAGCTCAGTCACTCTGTTAGAAGTTCTCATTTTTTCCCTTTTGAGCTTATAGGCAAGCATATCATCAACAAATTATATATAACCGTAGCTGAGACCTTACTGCAAACTGCGAATGGAGAACATGAGAAGAACGCTAGCCCTTGTGCTGAATTTTCTGGGATCTTCATTCTTGTTACATGCCTTGCTGCGGATATAAAACCGTGTATATTATATAAATGATGAATTTGTCCCTTGCAGGTTACTTTCAAAAGGCCAAAACAATCAGGCGAATGTCCCCATAAAATCAGTTGCTGGAGGAGAAGTAGTGACGAGAGAAAAATTCGAGCGTACAAAGTCAACGCTTGAGGCAGAGTTAAGAGACATTCAGGAGCGCTACTTGAACATGAGCCTTAAATATGCTGAGGTAGAAGCTCAGCGTGAGGAACTTGTGATGAAGCTGAGGGTGGTCAAGAATAAAAAAGGATCCTTGTCATAAAATTATCTCATGACTGGTCCGATGTCCGAATTACCATGTTCTTGTTGACGCTACCGGTCTCGGGCAACTTGCCTTCACGGATTTGAAGTATCATATTTTTCAATATGCAAATTGCAATAGGATTTATCTTTTGGGAATGTCATTGATTGATTGATAACAGTAGAACTATAATTAGTTTTGTAAATATCGGGAATTTTGAAGGGAGAATAACACCTAGCGAGTGACATCTTGATTGTCTTGGATTCTTGGGCTGTCTGTCAATAAGATATACCCTTTTATAAACCTATGCTCCTCTTGTCGTTGCAGCCTACGGCTGGTCCGTCCCCCCAATCCCCAAGGCTGGTCCCTCTTCTTGCTTTGAAATTGCATTATCATTTTTTGGGCACGACAAAAGTTCTTCTATCTATTAGTTGATTTAGGAATAATTAATTTCGTTAGAATTTGTAAATGATTTAGTTTCCTATAGATTTAATTATGTATTGATGCATTGATTAATGCCGGATTTATACTTTCTTGCTGTAGGACCTAAAGAATTTTATTGTTAATTATGATTTTATTGGCTGTGTATATATAGTAACAAAAGTGAGACATGCAAACATACATGACCATAGTGTACGGAATAAATGGAGCGAACATAAAAATAGTTGTGTACGATAAGGGACGGGATAGACATATAAATTTTTTTTCCCGCTGTATGGATATTCTAGCAATATGAATTTACAATATAATGAGGAGAAAATAACAAAAAAATACTTATTAAATTTTAAAAAGATAAATAAATCATGTTAACTTTTGTTGTAGTGATTTTGGTCAAAATCACCTATTTATCATTTTAAAATTTAATATTTTTTTTTATTTTCCTAGTACTCTACAAATCTTTCAATTCTTAACATGTTTGAGTATGATGAAACCCTCTAAAGACTTAAAGAGTCTTAGCGCGTGCCTTTTTACCTATAGGATTTGAACTTGGAATTTTTCAACGTGGACGTACTTCCCACCAGCCATCAGGCCGAAACTAGACCATTTTCGACGTATCTAATTAATGCTCTAAAATCTAAATTACATTCGCGGCTGATGTCAGCGCCTTTTTCCTTTTAACTTTTTTTTTTTTAAACGGTGCTTCTGCAATACTTCTTCTACCCAATGTAAAGAACAGCAAAAGCCAAATCCACAGCAAACCAGATGCAAGTATCGTGTCCAAGCATCGCACTGATCTTATGTCACTAATTGCAGCTAAATCTAATTATACTTTTTTAGTCCTTTGATTTTATATAAGATTTAGTTTCATTTCTTAATTTTTAAAGTTTAAAAGTACTCCTTCGGTCCTAAATATAAGACTTAATTATTAAGTTAATTTTAATCTTAAATATAAGACATATTTCTCATATTTATTAATTTTTTCTAAATTAACCTTATGAATATTCCTTCAACCATAATAAAGGAAATGAGGGAGGAAGGATATCAAGAAAGATAATTATAGTATTTTAGAAAAAACATGTCATATTTATTATAATTAACTAACTTACCTAACTTCCTTAATCTAATTAAATTAGTTAAATATGTTTTATATTTAGGATAAGAAGAGTAGATATTTAGTCATTCAATTCAATTCTAGAATTGTTAACAAAAAAAGTAATCACATTAGGATCTTAAATGTTGATAAATTATTTTCAAATGCTAACATATTAAGTTTAATTAATTTTCAAATCAACTATGATTGTTTCAAAAAATTAGCAATTTTAAAATTAAAAGATTAAAAATACACTTTTTAAAGTTTACAAATCAAATTAAAATATTGTATAGAGTTAAAGTTAAAGGATAAATATATATTTTTGCCATTATTTCAGAGTATAAAGAGGCAACTTTTCATGTAATTACTTAATTATTATTTTTGAGCTCGTATTCAAAAGTATCTTTTCCTTTTTATTCCTTCAATTCTGCTAGCTTGATTTGCCTGGAACAGTTCGTCGTGATATGCACTGTTATAATTAAACGCGCCAAGTTCTTCACATATCATATATGATGTCCCCCTTCCTAAGCCTCCCCTTAATATTAACTACTTGTTATAATTAAATTCACCAAGTTCTTCACTCATCAAGGAGAAAATTAATCCTGTAGAGGCACACATATGAATGCATTACAGTGTTAGAAAAAAAATAAGGAGCTGAAAATGATACCGATGTTGTCCTGTGACTGTATATGAATTAATATGATGTCTCAAGAAATTAATGTGCTTTCCAACACTGACGTCGAAAGGCCAAGTTGCTTAATTTTAGTATTAAAACTACTCAGAATTATCGGCCAGTATATATTGTTAATATTTAAATAATCAAGGGAAAATGACAGATAAAGAAGGCTGAAATAATAAAATGCCAGAATGGGAAGCTAAGCAAATGTATTACCAGATAGGGAAGTGTTGCCTGATTTGGGATTATGCAAATGTTGCACAATTACAAAACAGCCCCTCATATGCAAACCGAAAAAGTGACCGGTGGAAGTGTGGAAGTTGTGGCGGGAGCTGGAGGAAAAAGTTGGGAGGGACCACGAACGTGGGAGCATGAACGCGCGAAGCAACAACTGAACGACGGAAGCGAGGTTAGTATCCAGTGACTATATTGTTCGCCTGTGTCTTTTGTCCCTCTCCTTTATGCGCCGGTTGATTTTCCTCTTCCCGTTGGATGGCAATGTCGTCGATGTGGGGATGGTTTTGAGGTGGAGAGGGTGGCGAAGCATGGAGACGGCGTGGGTATATAGAAAGTGTGGGGGGAAGGACGGTGATCAGAGGGTGAATGCAGGGGGAAGGAAAAACACTGAGGGAGAGGGGTTTGATGGCGTCACAAGTGGGTTAGAGTGATTAGTGTCAGATAAATGGACAATGTTGGAGGGAGATTCGAATAATGGAGTGGATTGATTCTGAGAAAACGAAGCATTAGTGTGGACAGGAAAGAAATGATTGTTTTGTTGCAAATTATAAGCATGAATGTGTCAAACCCTAAGTTGGTCGTGTAAGTTGATGATGATGGTATTAAGTCATATAATCATTCGACTTCTGTTATGTTATCAGTGCAGGTAATGAAGATAAATGAATTTGCAGCTGGGTCATCTTGTGGGAAGGAGCTGTTCTGTTATTTTCATGTGGGGGGGAAATTTGTGACAAATGGTGAAGGTGAAGTGAGATATAATGGAGGTGGCGTGAGGTTAAGAAGCATTAAGGATGGGCTGACACTTGATGAATTGAGGCTAATGATATCTGAGTGGATTGGTGGCGATGGAAGAAATTATGACATTAAGTACACAGTGGCCTTTGATGAGAAGACATTGATTGACCTTCATGACAATGCTGAAATGTATAACCTCTTTCAATACAATGGGAACAGCGGTCATGTGTATGTCGCCGAAAAAAGACAAGTGGGTCCCCAACCAAGGGACAATGTAGAAATGTAAGTGGAGTTTGTCCTAACTATTTGTTGTCATTTATGAATTTCTTCTTGTCATTTGTGTTAACGAGTCTTGTCATTATGAATGCAGAACAGAGAGATTCATGGGCATGTCACAGCAAACTGAACTGGATGCGTCTCCCATTAGTTTGTGTTGTGATTATGGCTGGCTCAGTGAAGAAAATGCTCGTGAATGTGACAATGATGAAATAAGTGGGCCCCCTAATGTGGATAAATCTATCGGAGCTGAAGATACGGATGGTAGTGAGATGGTTCATGCGGAATGGAGGGGACTTTTAACAGGAGTGGGCCAACGTTTTCCTAGTGCAGATGTATTTCGGGTGTCTGTATACAAGTTTGCACTTGCAAACAAGTTTGTGGCCAAGTATATGAGGAATAGCAAGGAATTCATGTCGATAAGGTGTAAAGTTGAGGGTTGTCCATGGAAGCTATGTGCAAATCATGTGGGGAAGAGTTGTGATGTGCTACGAGTGACGACATTTATAAACCGGCATGTTCATTCTGCCCAAGATAGCTTGGACGTGATGCATAGTGGAAGAGCTAGTTTGAACTCATCAATAATAATTGATGAGATGAGGGATCATGCAGACAAGCGCACTTCTGAGATAAGGAAGAGGTTGAAACGAGAGTATGGGATTGATCTAACATATAAACAGGCTTATAGAGCAAGAGAGAAGTCACTGGAAGACATATATGGCAGGCCCGAACAATCATACATGCTCATACCATGGCTATGCGAAAGGATAAAGGAAACAGATGAAAAATCAGTGGCTGAATGGACTGCTATTGGGAACCGGTTTGAGCGTGTTTTCATTGCTTACGGGGCATGCATTGAGGGTTTCCTGGGTGGCGCGAGGCATATTATGTATGTTGATGGAACTCACTTAAGCGGACCATACAAGGGGACAATGTTGTCAGCTTCAGCTTATGATGCAGATAACGAGCTGCTGCCATTTGCAATTGCAATTGTGAAGGGAGAAACACTAGATGACTGGACGTGGTTTTTCTATATGATAAAAAAAATCCTGGGTTCTGTGGAAGTAACGATTGTATCAGATCGACACAATGCTATCATCGGAGGAGTGGCATCAATCTTTGGGGGTCAAAGGCATGCCTTTTGTTATAGACACATCAAGGAGAATTTTAGTTCAGAAGTTATGAAAATGAATAAGGGGCAAACAAGGACAAATGGCCGATCAAAGGAGGATGCACTATATTTATTGGATAAAATTGCATACGCAAGGACGGATGAGAAATTTGAGGCAGCAATGGATGACATGAGATCCTTTTCTCCAAGGCTATTTGATTGGCTTATTCATCATGGGGATGTAGATAGGTGGGCTAAAAGTAGGTTCCCATATAAAAGATGGGACAATATTACAACCAATATAGCAGAATCATTCAATGCATGGATGGTGAATGAGAGAAAGCATACTGTACCCCAATTGATCTATGAGCACCGAGATAAAGTTGCAAGAAAGCTGCATGCCTCCTATGTGGGTATGACCAAATGGAAGAATTGCGTTGGTCCAAATATAGAGAGTAAGGTGCTGGATATGGTGGCTGGGTCTGACCATATGTATGCTGAAAATTATGGTGGGGGAAGAGTGAAGGTGACAACATCACGTGGAGACCATCGGGTTGATCTTGGACTACACCAATGCAGTTGCAGATCTTGGCAAATGACGGGGATCCCTTGTTCCCATGCTTGTGCTGCCATCAAGATTGTGCACGGCAATGTTTATGATTATATTGATAATTGCTATAAAAAGTCATCACAAGAAAAGATCTATGCTCGCAGTATGATTCCTGTGGTAACAACAGACATGCCTCACCCAAATGACTACTATAGAATAGAAAATGTCAGTGAGCAAGTTTTCTTGCTACCTCCCATGACATCCCGACCACCAGGAAGGCCAAAAGTAAACAGGGATG